GTGGCTGCGTTCGCATGACGCCGGGGCACCAATTTCGGCACACCCTCACACGCTTCGCGGCCCCAGAAGGGGCTCCACTGGAGGCCTCAATGGCAACGTTCGCGTGGCACCGCTGCGCCCATTTCGGCATACCCCGCACCCATGTCGGTACACCCCTCACACGGTTCGCGGCCCCACCGGAGCCCTACCGAAGGCTCCAGTGGCAGCGCTCGGTTTCGGCGTACCCCTCACACGCTTGGTGGCCCCATAGAGAGCTCTACCGAAGGTTCCAAGGGCTGCGTTGGCATGGCGCCACCGCGCCAATTTCGGCACACCCCTCACGCGTTTCGCGGCCCCGTAAGGAGCTTCACCGAAGGCCCAAGCGGTTGCGTTCGCATGGCACCGCCGCACCCGTTTTGTGTTCCCTGGACGATGACGTTGACGAAGTGTATGGTGCTCTTTCCTGGCTAAACCCTGACTCGGCAACCCCCAGGCGTCCGTCTATGAGCACGGTGACCCTTCAGGTATATACAGAAAGGGATGAGAGGATGATGGGAAGGGTATGGGAATGGGTCGGATCGGGCTTAGTGAAGAGAGAAAGGACTTGAGCCAAAGTGGTCATGGTCCGGTCCCCTCACCTGTAAACACTCTCAAGCTCAAGGACTTTGTGAACTCACCAAAGTCATACGCCAGAGGCACTCAAACGCACAGTGCCCCGAAAAACAGTGAGCTTGAAGTGATGAGGACCAGACCATCCACTCTGCCTGGAGGGTCATCTGAAACTAGTGAAACACGACGTGGCACAAGGGACTCCGTCCTCGTACCCGTGGCAACTCTCTCTTGCACCGGCAACAACAGCGTACTTGGAGCGCGAGGTCGCTCCTCTCTGGCCAGATGGCGTTCCTAGAAAAGGCAGTCGCCGGCGCTGCGAGAGTCGGACGCAGAGGCAAAATTGAAAGAGCTCCTCTAGCGCTGATCGCGCCATGGAGCCCTTGTCGGCTGCGCCTCGGGGGGTGCCCAGAGCAAAAAGGTGGGAGGAGACAGCGCACCGTGGGGAAGCCTACTGGAGCTGTCGCCTCGATTCGGCTCTGGAACGCCCCTTGGTCCTGGGGTCCTCCTTTCTTTCCTGGATAGCGGATTCCTCCGCCGAAAGACGGAGCATGCCTGACTTGAGCATAGTCAACTGAGCGGCATTAGTCTTGGCTAGATCCGATTTGGTCATGCAATCTACAGGCGTCAGTGGATGCGGCATCCACCGGATCGCGCTTCCGATTTTCTCCATAGATGCCCTGACCACCGCTAAGTCTATGGCTGCCCGCCGGTCCGACTTGGACCCCGCCGTGAGCTTTGAGAGCGTGTCGTATATACCCTTTGCGTCGACCACGCTCAGGTTCCCGGACTGTGGCTCCCCAAGAACCTGGCACTCGTCCTTTATGATGGCGACGAAAGGACCTATGTGCTCTCTCCACCTTTCGTGGACCACGTTTCCTCGAACTACGTCCAGCAACAATATTTGAAGCCACTCGGCCTCTCCTAGAGCGCTGGACAATGAAAGGGTCTCCCCAGCGAGGGTGGAAGATACCTGTCGCCTGACTTTCCCAGACCTCCACGCAATCGGAGCGACGCGGGCCCGGGACCCGTGGGCCAGGGAATTGTCGGCAACATATATCTGCCACGCCTCCTGAGGATGTTGCAGACCATCTTTGTCCTCCGCCCCCACTCCACCGCAATCGCTGGCAGTCGCCAGGACGAATCCGTCCGGCTTGAAACGCCACACGATGACGGGAAGCGAGGCCGTCGAGCGGAGATGATCCACCATCTTGTTGGCATCGAGCAAGTCGCGAACGCAAGGGCGGTTGACCTTCGTGGCTAATATGGAAGCCGTGCCGGCGGCCTCCGCCCTGGTCTCGCGACCTACCCACTGCAGCTTATAGACAAGGGACCTAAAGGCTGCTACTTCGCCTCCTAGCAGAGGGGCCCCGTGGTCTCCTTTCCTGCCGCGGGCCAGAGGGATCTTCTGGAGTTGCTCTAAAATGTATTTTTCTTGATCCACCAGAATACGACCCCCGTCTAACCTCAATCTCCTCCCGATGTACTCCACCCCTTCCGCGTCCAGTAGACGCATCTTCCCGAAAGTAAACCTTGACTTGAAGGGCTTGATGTACTGATCTTCTGACCCGGGCTTGAACAGTCGTCGACTTCGACGAGCACTTGGGCCTCCAGCCCGCGGTCGGAGCGCTTCGCAAACCAGCAGGGCTCTAACTTGGTCCGCTCGAAGCCCTGAGTGTGCATGAAGTTAGCTGCGGTGCGGTGAAAGGCTAACGGGGCATCATCAAGCCCGTAAACTGGGGCTATGAGCTCAATGAGAGATCCTGGTGGCACTGGCACCCCGTCACATGGTTCGACGAAAACCCGACCGCGAGCCCTCTTCAAGGGCTCAGACTGGCAAAACGCGTTTTTGATATCGCCAATGTATATCGTCAACTTATACATGAGCGCCACCACCGGAAACAGCATAAGA